GGGCTGAAACATGCGACAAACTGCGGAAAGCAGATGCGGACCTCCGGAGGATGCAAAGGGTAAGGGAGTCAACCTCTGAAATGCTGAAGGTATTGGATACCCTCATTGAGGCCTTTGAGGACTCAAGTAACATGTAAATATTGATCAATGTCTGATAGTAGACACATTGCAGTACTACTCAGTAGGTAGTCCTTGGTACTTGTATACTCTACCTACCCAGTACTCGCTGCCAGGTTTTCTGTGCTCGGTACTTGGGGCTCGGTACTTGGGGCTCGGTAGTTGGGGCTCGGCAGTCGGGGCTCGGTAGCCGGTGCTTGGTACTCGGGGCTCGGAACTCGGGCCTCGGGGCTTGGTACTCGGTGTTCGGTACTCGGGCCTTGGTACTTGGTGACCGGCGTTCGGGCTTCGGTATTCAGGGTTCGGTACTTGGGCCTTGGTACTCGAGATTTGGCATTTGGCAATTACAATTTGATTGTTAGTACTTTGACATATACATAATAGCACTTATGACATTACACATGAGGGCAGGAAGATATATGTACATTAAGTGCGTCCCGTGCTCTGGTTACTCTAGGTGTACTGTCTACTGGCATTTGCAACTTACTCCGGGTCGTCCTGGTGGATGGTTCAACAGTGACTCGAGTGCCCCTCCTCCTTTTCTGTGCCGGCGGTGTGATACTCTCTTCCATTTTGACATCATCTCTAACCTCGCCCGTCGCATTGTCAGTTAACCCAGCGAGGAGGTCTCCCAATCGTGATGTCAGTAATGCACCTTTTTTGGCCGGCTTGGCCAGGCGAGGCTTTGGAATTGAACGTGGGACTGCCGGCCCTCTGGGTGTAGGACCTCCCGTCCTGGGCTTCTTCAGCGGAGGTCTCCCGTCAGCCAGGTCATCATCCACATTATGCTCCGTATGATGAGTGGCACTCTCCTTATCACTCTCGGCTTCTGTCGATGACTCCCGAGGCCTTCGGATGGTAACCCTCTGTTGCCTTCTCACTATACGAGTCTGAGGAGAGGGCGAGTTGCCAGATATGACAGATGGTACCATGTCCCCATCTTTGTTCTTCCATGCTTTGAACAGAAATGTGGGCCCTTCGCCTGTTTCTTGCCGAGCGAGCCAAAACTGGAGCAAGGTAGTGGTGTCCCAAATTTGCAGCTTCGAAGGTTCCTTCAAGTCAACATCCGCCGGAAGATACGTCCGGGCCACAAAGTCATCCTGACTTTGTACAATGGCACTCCATGGCACAACTGCCTTGTCCTTCCCGGAGCATATCCCTTTGTCCATGCATTGAACAATTTGTCAGGTGATGCGACGACAAACTCACGATAGTGCGATGTAAGAAAGGCCCTTACTATGGCCTTCTTCTCCTCAAGTTTGGTGTCGGTGATGTCCGGAAGGAGTGGCATACCCTCCCCGTCCATTTCGAGTTCGAAGGCTGGTTTTCGAATTCGTTTTCGACCTCCCTTGACCTGACGTCCTCCATCCCGTGCCCCGGCGCCTATCATTGTGATGCTCAATATGTTCAATCTGGTATACATGGTTCACACACTCACCGAACTGTTCCTGCGCGTACTCCTGCCACACTGGCTCAATGTCCTCCCAGTCCTTCGTCTTCATGAAGCTGTCCCCATCTCCTAAGGCCTCATTATCATCATGCCTGCATGAATATTTTGAGACGAAAAATCTCCATCTATGGATAAATGTACTCACATCCCGAACAGCACCTCGCCCTTTTCATTCTTCCAAGCTGACATCACAAACACTCTCATCCCACATTGCCTCCACATCTCGTTCGAAAAGTGCTCCATATATGCCGGACCCTTCTTACGAGCCACTTGTGCTTGTATCTCCGGAGGCGGACAGTTGTTGGACCACTCTTCGGCTGTTTCTTTAGCCTTCTCCAACTCGTCGTCGTCCAATTCAGCCATGACTCTCTTCACCGCCGCCTGATAATGTTTGAACATACCAGGATCTCCTGGCTTTACCCTGGACTCGTCCTCAATCCTCTTCAGCACCTCTTCGCGTTTTTGCTGGTAGACCACCATCCTGGGAGTCCATTTCCTCCCATACTTGATCATGTCCTTCCTTTCCTTCTTTTTCTTGTTGTTGAACAACCAAGTCTTGTACACCTAAGAGTTGATGAAAGAATATGACATTAAAAATTTAGTTTTTCAACACAACAAAGAAGCCTCACCTGCTTCCTCTTTTTCCATTGTTTTTGGTCCAACTTCGGAGCAAACAACCTGGCCGCCCTTGCTATGGCAGTGAAAATCGCTCGCTTCTCACTCCTTTTGGCAGCAGTCCACTCAGGAAGGTAGTTCTTCAACTCCAAAATCTCCTTGTCCGTGAGCTTCTGAGACTGTGGTTGACGCATCCTGTGTCTTCCGGAAGTCGTGTTGGTGGAATGACCTGTTCTTGCCATAGTGAATCAAAATGCAGAAATGGCTAAGGATTTTCAAGGTGAAAGTATTAATGAATTGTGCGAAGTTGAACTTTGAGCAAAGCCTAATGATAGGTTAATCGGCCCATATTGGACCCTGAGCCATTAATGGAAATGAATTTGTAATAAGCCAACAGGACTGCACCGCATCATATTGCAATAACAATTCATTACACCTGAGCTGATGCCTTGCTTGCAACATTAATAAACAAGATGAAGATAGGTAGATGCACCCCAGTGCAAAAATCTCACAGGGTGGAAGCAAGGGGCAGCAAAGGTAGGAAGACTTGGGTCAAGGTCCCACTTGCAAGCACGAGGCGACATGCCTACAGGTCCATGCCTAACTCTCCCCCGGAATCACCAACAATTCAGCCTGTTGAGGCACCGCCTCCTTGGGAAGACTTTCCTGACAATACTTACGAGCAGGACCAAGGCTCATTTGAGCCATTGCAACTCCCAAAAACCATGGCAAGTTCATGTACAATGTTGGAGTGTCATTCAAACTATGGCTAAGCATTCAAAATACAGAGTCAAAATGACTACCTCAGGCAATGGCTGCCAAGGCAGGAATCATATCTACATCACCTCCTCGATCGAGAAGCTCCACCAGAAGACAGGAGATGCATCATCTGCCAACAGGATGGGGTGTACAAATGTCAAGATTGTCTTGGCGAGCCACTTTATTGCACGGGCTGTTGCAGGAGTCAACATCGTAGCAATCCTTTCCACTGGATCAGTCAATGGAATGGGCGATTCTTCGAGCGGAGTTGTCTAGCTCATGTGGGACTCATTATATACCTTGGCCATGATGGCAAACAATGTCCGGCGGTCACCGATCGGTGGAATTTGTTTGAAGAAGATGAACCCGAAGACCTGCTCGAGCCTGAAGATCTGCCATTTGTGTCCGGACCCGAGTTCCAGCCAAAGGAAAACACCATGGTCATCGTGGACAAGTCCGGAGTTCATCGCCTGGAGGTTCGATGCTGTGAATGTCCGAATGCCATGAGTCCAGACATTCAAATGTTTCGACACGGATTTTTCCCTGCATCTTTTAACAGGCCAAAGACTGTGTTCACCTTCAGAGTGCTCAATGATTTTCTACTGGACAGCCTTGAATGCGGCACCTCGGCGATGAACTATTACAGCAAGCTCCGGCGAATGACCTCCAGCATGTTTCCACACCTTGTTCCGGTAATGCCTTACCCTCATGATCTACTGGACATCATATTGACAAAGCACATTGCAAGGACCGATACAGAGAGCTCATGAGGGTCGCTCGACAGTGGAGGCAGTTGAAGACAATGAAATGGCATGGCTTTGGCCATCGTTCTGATAACCCGAGCACAGGAGAACTTGCATTATTTTGCCCGGCATGTCCTCAGCCTGGGATTAATGTGCTGTTGTCAGAGGATGAATCTCTTGATGAGTGAGTCCTATTCTCAACCTATGTGGCCTCCATAATAATACTAGGGATCCAAGCTGGAAATACACCCGGTCATTTGTGATGGACGGAAATTTCAAAGCCGAACATCTGCATCCCATTAAGCCATTCGATGAAGTTTGGCTGTCCGATGGGCTTGGATTCATGGTAGGAAAGGACAGGTATAAAATGCACCTGGCAGAGGCTGCTGACACAGTGGAAAAATCAAGCTGCAACAATCACCGGGCAGTAAATCAAGCTAATGCTGCTCGGCACAAGCTGGAGTCCACCGGTATCGGGGGAGTTGCCTGTGCCAGACACGGTTGCTTTGTCCCTCACTCCATGGTGGATTTTCAGAAAGGCGAAAGGCAAGCCACATCCACCATTCCCCATTCACGAGTTAACCATGGGTCACTTGCAGACAAATGAACATGGACTACGCCCTTTGCGAGGCTTCCCGGCACAACATGGAAGGCATCACCAGGGCTGTCACCTTCTATGATATTAATTGTCAATACAACAAACACTTTCGGGTTCGGGTGGATCGAAGTCGATTTCTAGAAATGGCACCACAACTAACCATCATTCCCGGAATTGGGTTGTGGCACGTTCATGGCCATCAGGACAGCTGCTATGTCCGATATGCTTCTAACTTTATTGAAGGCATTGGTCGGATCGATGGAGAGATCATGGAGACGCTATGGGCACGGCTCAATTTGATCTCCCCTGCTGCTCGGGGAATGTCATCTCCCCACCGAAAGGAATGCCTTGATTATCAGATGAATGACTCCAATTTCTGCAAGATGATTCGCATGAAAAGGACTCTATGCCGGAAATACAAACTGGCTAGGAATGGTATCTTAGAAAGTGGAAAGGCATTCGACAGACTCGATGAAGCAGCACCCTCACATTTGAAGACAGAATGGTTAGCCAGGGAGAGGATAGCTCAGTCAAGCAGATTGAATGATCCTTCAGCCATGGATGAATATGAGATCAATATCAAAAAGGGTACGTTGAGTTCCATTGTCTCCGTCGAGGTACTGAATTAATATTGCACTCAGCACCTAGCAAAAAGGAGATCGAGCTTAGATTGTTAGAGGAGGGTAACGCCCGCAATGCAGCACCCTCTCGCAGATCTGTGGCGACATGGATATCAACAGGGTTAGCAATTGAAGAGGCTCAGATTGCATTGCTCATCGAGGTCCGAAGGATCGGAAGAAGATCCACCGAGACACAGAGATTAGACATCGCCCGTCAAAGAGATCGGCTCCAAGGCCAGATAGATGGATTTGCTCGGTCTGCTCTAACACATCTCGGGGAGGGATTTGATGCAGATGATGAACCTGAAGACTTGGACGTAGACATTCTAGATGATCTCGATGATGACCCGGCGGATTTCACAGAGACATCTCACACATGGACAAACTCTCCCGAGCTAACTGTAATCCCATTGCCATCAAACCTGGGGGTTGATAGATGCAGACGATGCATGGCAGAGGATCTGATTCCCCTGGAGATGTCGCTTCGTGAAGGGCAGGCCAATGATGCCCTTCACAATCTCCGCATTTACCTTTGCAACAAGGCCATCCTGTTCCGAACAACCGTTAGGCAGGCCAATTCCCAGGCCCTGAAAACTCGAGCTTGGTCCCAGGTGACGTCGGTGCAGCAGGCAGTCTCCCTCCATGCCAGCATATATACAAAGACAAGGAAGCAAATGATGAAACTTGAGCCGGGGCAAGACCAGCTTCAGAAATACAAACCCCTGCTTCGCGAGCAACTCAAAATCAGCACTGCAGTGGGCGACCCAAATGCCCGAGGTCAACGAAATGAATCTTTGGCTTGGTTTTGGTCTGTTGAAGTCGACCTCGGGGGTCCTGATCAATCGTGGAATGAAGAATGTGAGTTCCCTGCTTGCATGTCATATCCCGCGGTTACCTGACTGGACCCATGCCAAGTTTACCGAGTCCATTGGCTGAGGGCAAAGGCACTACGGGATCGATGGAGGGAAGAAATGCTATTGGTCACATTGGAGATGGATTGGACATGTAAGTTCTTTTTGTGGAAAACAACCATATGGGGCGAGCACATGCAGGAATCATTGGAGAAACGACTTCCGGGTCACGGATGCTACGCCGGAAGGCAATCCCACATGTATTCATTGCTGGCACAGGATGCGCAGGCAGCTTTTCAAGACCTACAAAACGTGTTGATAGAGGCTGGAGATGAATGAACATTGTTTTCTCATGAAGTCCCTTTTTCCACATACATAATTGACGCCCGGGAATTGTCCGGGTCAGCCCATGTCGGAGTTTGAATTTCGTATCCATCCATCAGTGATTCTTATCTTCACATCTTGACCATCTTTCACTTGTATTGCCAGCGCCATAGTCCTGTATTAGCCATGTCTGCATCTCATGCATCCACTTCTGGCACTCTGAATCCCGGAAGCCATTACCGACCTCTGAAGCTGAGCCTTGCAACTATTTCCTGCACATTGGCAATGGCTGGATCGCGCGTCCGTGCAATCATCTCTCAATATCGGACGGAAGCTGCCAACAATGGTCTATCTGCTGACCGGATCAAGTATTTTAAAGCCGGGCTGCAATGGGAGATGAATGTATGTCACCACTGCCCTGATGACTTTGTTGGTCAATGCTAAGAATTTGAGCAGACATTTGTCACACCACTCCTGCAGTACTCCGCTTCACAGAATATCGTGTCGGTTCTTCCGGTCCCTGTCGCTTATATCCTTAAGTTGTATCCCATGCTGACCTGGAACACTGTTCCGGACGACGTCTTTTCATTCCACCTCCTTTCATTTCATGATGAGCCAATTGCAGGACATCCGTCCCGGATTGTGTTCGCATATACATGTCCATGGTGGATGGGAAACACCACAATCCCTGATCAACCATGGCAGTGGGATGAAATAATGGCTTCCTGCGTCTCTCACTACCAGTATTGGGCGGTAAGATGTCAGCTGAATTACCTTGATTGATGACTTATCTGTTTCAGCTTAATGTTGAGGATGATGCTTTGGTACTTCCAGAGAAGTTGAAAAACACTTCGACTCCACCACTCATGGGACTGAGATTCATCAAAGAACGCATGGAAGCATTGCTGGAGGAGCAAGATCAGGGCATCGAAGCTAAGATGGGAGAGGTGAAGATGTACACTGACATGTTAGAGAAATTGAGGAAAGGCAAAGGAGTGTAGTCCCATTCAGTCTTCATTGTATACAAGATGTAACATATTCTATGCATTCAAAAATCTCACATTCGAGTCCCGGACGCCCAGGTCCCGAGTCCCGAATTTCGGAGGTCGGAGGTCGGAGACCCGGAGCTCGGCAACTGTGTTGGGTGTCAGGGTATCCAGACCATTGGAGATAGCATGTGTGAGTATTTTGCGTTTCATGGTTTATGTTGGGTGAATATGGAATCGGGGATCAGGGACTCGGTATTCAGAACAGTGTCAAGTCCCAGGTCACGAGCTCCGAGTCCCGAGTACCGAACCCCGAGTCCCGAGTCCCGAATTTCGGAAGTCGGGGTTCGGCGACCCGGAGCTCGGCAACTGTGTTGGGTGTCAGGGTACTCGGAGCATTGGAGATAGCATTTGTCAGTATTTTAAGTTTCATGGTTTATGTTTCGTGATTATGGAATCAGGTGTCAGGGACTCGGTATTCAGAACAGTGTTGAGTCCCAGGTCATGAGCTCCTGAGTCCCGAGTCCCGAAACCCACACCCAGCAGTTGCCGAGCTCCGGGTCGCCGAACCCCGACTTCCGAAATTCGGGACTCGGGACTCGGGGTTCGGCACTCGGGACTCGGAGCTCGTGACCTGGGACTTGACACTGTTCTGAATACCGAGTCCCTGATCCCCGATTCCATATTCACCCAACATAAACCATGAAACGCAAAATACTCACACATGCTATCTCCAATGGTCTGGATACCCTGACACCCAACACAGTTGCCGAGCTCCGGGTCTCCGAGCCCCGACCTCCGAAATTCGGGACTCGGGACCTGGGCGTCCGGAACTCGGTATTCAGAACAGTGTCGAGTCCGGAGTCCACAATGTCGGGGTTCAGGGTTTTGTTAAATGTGTATGGCAATAACAAATGTTAATTCGAGCGTATTTATACATCTTCCCCCAGTCTCAAATATCACTTGCTGAGGTCCGGGTGTCGGGACTAAGTACCCCGGCACTCAGGACTCCCATATGTCAAGTCCCGAGTTCCAATTATCGAATACCGAGGCTTGCATCCAAATTATTTAGTCCCACATATCACTTGGGAAATGCTCAAAATTGAGTATTGAGGTCCGGATCACAATTGGTACATGGTATTCATTTGTTGGAATGTATATAGGTCACAATGCTTGCTCTTTGTTTGATCTTTCACACGCTGTATGGACCATCCACACTAGCCCATCCACATGATGGAACACCAGCATAAATATGAACAGCATCCCTCATATACCATGCCCAAGCAATCCGATCCCCTTCCACATCATACACTCCATGTCTCACAATCTTTCCGGAAAACGCAATCATACAGCCGGAATTGTACTTGAACTCCAGCTGAAGGTTTGGCATTGTCATCCGAGCATTAGAATAGTCCCCCACGGTGGTGAGAATGTCGAAGCATTCAGCAATGGACATGTGGTCTCGATGATGGGGGGTTTCCCGATTGGAAATGATGGAGAGGGTGTTAAACACGGATGCCCAGTACTGCAGGGCCTCCGGCATCTGTGGCAGATCCTTGCTTACTGCTATATTTCCAAGGTTTGACAAGGTTCTCAACCCTGCCCAGTACTGCTCAGGATGCATGACTCTGAGTGCCGCGGACGCGATGGCTGCTGGCCTTGCAATGGCTTTGAGGATATTCTCGCAGGAAGGTCCCTTCAATGATGCAGATACCTCCGGATCGGACACATTCTTTGGGATTGGTAAGTATGACTGCCGGAATCACCATCTCATCAGATCCTACCTCGTGTCCCTGTTGAAACCATGCCGGAGATAGATTGATGCATCCGGGAGTTGCTCCAACATCTTCCGAGCCCCGGTTGAACAACCTTTGATTAGTTCGCCAATTGCCATCAGCCCTTACACTTTTTTCGAGGCTTGGAGAGAGCAAATAGGTGGCCTCCCTGATTTCCTTCTGTAGGTTCCATTAATATTCGATATCCATCGAGTAACAATGTATATTACACACCTGGGTGGTGTCTGTCAGGGCGTCTGGGAGATACCATGCAATGATGGCACCGGATGCATCAAGAATTATTGCAGGTTCATCGACCAACCTTTTGCCTTCATGGCCAGGAGGACACCTCTCAAGCAACCTCGCCTCTTTATGTTCATTATGCCCGGTGTCCTTCGGGGAGATCAATTTGCTATATCTTGCAATATCCATCTGCATCTGAACTGTCATGCAGGAATTTGAATGATAAATAGAATTTTCCGAATCTGCAGGAAGACCCACTGGGATTTTTAGATGCCTTTATGAGTACATCAGCCAAGCGATCGCACGCCATCACCAGATCAGTGTCTAGGTTGGGGGAAGGTATGACTGGGCCTCCTCCAGTCTTCTCTGCCTTGAATTTCTGTTCAGTATATTCCCCTGCTTCATAAGTCACAGTCAGGGCCCAAGTGCGCCAGATGTTTATGCTATCAGGAGGGGAAGGGGAAGAACCGTTCATGCTGGATGTTAATCTTGGGAAATCAGACGCTGAATGCTGGATGTCCGGACTTTGGTGTTATAGGGGGTGGAGATAGAGAGGATCAGATAAGGGAGCCATGGATAATTTTGGCCGCTGTCAAAGATGTATTATTATCCATTGCTCAATGAAATACTACCTGATTGGAAGTGTGCTGGTCATCAGATATTCATTTGTCGACTCCCGGGTCCCGGTACTCGGAAGTCGGTACGGTTGACCCATATTTGAGTGGTCGGAATTTGGCGTCTCATAGGGCAACACAAGCTTCGTACTACCATATCAGGAGATCACCTGCTGCTCCGGGAACTCGGTAACTGTGATTTATTACCTCCTCTGAGTAAGGTTGACTCGCTGGTCATCAGATATTCATTTGTCGACTCCCGGGTCCCGGAACTCGGAGGTCGGTACGGTTGACCCATATTTGGGTGGTCGGAATTTGGAGTCTCATAGGGCAACACAAGCTTCGCACAGCCATGTCAGGAGATCACCTCTCTCTTCAGAAACATCTCAACTTCGGTTGGCCATTTAACATGGAAAGTATTAACTAAATTATGTGTTGAGTTCCAGGTCCTGGAACTCGGTACAGTTGACTCCAATTCTGGTGGTCAGAACTTGGCTTCTCATAGGGCAACACAAGCTTCGCACCCCGGATTCCACATTCTGCAAGACAACCTGTGCACCATCAAAAAGTATTAACCAACTTATGTGGTGAGTTCCGGGTCCCGGAACTCGGAACTCGGTACAGTTGACTCAAATTCTGGTGGCCGGAACTTGGCGTCTCGTTGGGCAACACAAGCTTCGCACTGCCATGTCAGGAGATCACCTGATGCTCCGGGAACTTGGTAACTTTGATTTATTACCTCCTCTGATTTGGTTGATGTACAACTACCTCAGCTCCATCATGTCTACAATTATGATACACATGGGCCCACCCATCTATATTGTATACCACCCTCGGCCCACCGGTCTAATACAACATCCCATACAACACCCTCGGCCCACCGGTCTAATTAATATGCGTCTGGGCCCACCCGTATAATACAATATTTTATAATACCCTCGGCCCACCCGTCTAATTTAATATGTGTCTGGGCCCACCCGTGAATGTGATAACAAGTACCTACCCATCTATCTCATACACATCTACCTTAATACACCCATCTGCATAATATCCAGCTACCTCGGCCCACCCGTCTACCTAATATTCATTTACATCGGCCCACTCATCTACTCTATATATTCCCTGCATGGGCCCACCCGCCTCCATCGGGAATAATTTGCCTCCCGGCCCATCCGTCATAGTTGAGAATATTTTTATCATGGGCCCATGGTCCGCTGGCCCGTATCATACGGGATATTATGCACGTCCGTTCCCTCGTATTATATGGAGATAGGTCACTGTAGTATGTGACTAACTTAGCTGATGCCAATACCAATACAAACCCGAGTCCACTGCAGACAGCGACTAGCACTCTCCCCACCAATCCTTTTGCCACAAGAAAATGAGGCCTCAAGACTACGTCTGATATCCAGTTTTTCTTCAGGAAGAACTCAGACACAGGCGAGTGTATTTGCGTACCATGTGAGTGAGTAACATATCTGGGAGTCTTTTCTGCTCTTTCTCACCCCCTTTACAGGGATTTCAATAAAATTGACTCATCCTATCCCCTTACCACTTACAGTTCATCCACAAGCAATACTCCTCTTTGTTCACACATCTACAAATCTCATATTGACCTTCATCTCCAGGAGTCCGAGAAGCGGCAATGGCCAGTCGGCATACATCCTGTAGAGGATCGCATTAATGAAGGCTGGACCTTTGCTGAGATGCGGGAATGACTCAAAGATCCCACTTGCACAATTGAGACGCTCAGCCCTCCCCCTAATCCCAGACATAGCGGTTCACTTCCCACTGTTGGGAAGTCAGTGTCCTTGCACAACTTACCAGGCTTCTCCATTGAAGAGATGCATAGACATATAGTGAAGTTCATTGTAGCTGATGACCAAGTGAGTACTGTCTACCATCTATGTACTCTCATTAATGACCATCTCTAGGCAATCAGCATTGTCGAGTGTCCAGAGTTTCGTCGCCTACTCTGCCTCTTGTGTCAAGATCGAAAAGATTCTGACATCCCACATCGTACAAAGTTCCGGCAACTGATCATCGATGCTTGGGATGAATATTTTGCAGCCATCACTTGACCTTGCTGTAAGTGTCCAGCTACCAATCTCATACAGTATTTTCATATCTTGCAGACCACCCAAGGATGAATTTCATTCACATCTGATGTCTGGTCCGATTCTAAGCTTTGTCCCTTCCTTGCTGTGACTGCGCATTGGATTGCAAAAGAAAGCAGGAATGCAAGACTCGTTTTGAAGGCCGCTCTAATTGCTTTTCATCACATTCCTGGTAGTCATACAGGGAAGGCACTCGCCTCAAAAATATTGGAGCTGATTGATCATGCTGAATTGAAATATAATGTTAGTGTCTTGTTATACTGTATTGTATGCCCTGACTTCATCTAGATCGGACAATTTACCTTGGACAATGCTAGCAACAACAGGACCACGATGGACGAACTCTCACAACTTTTGCAGAAAGATGGGATTGAATTTGATGCGGTTGATCACTGAATCCCATGTTTCCCTCACATAGTGAATATATGTGTCCAACACATCCTCAACAAATATTCTACTGCAGACTTTTCACATTTGGCTGATACTTCTGTAGCTGGCCCTTACACTTTTAGCAAGGTGCAGTACATCAACGCTCTGCAACATAACATTATCAATCGGGCCAGAAATATTGTCCGCATAATTCGTGCATCAGGCCAGCGTCATGATAGTTTTTGAGCTGCCATCACTTCTGGTAATGCAGAGGGATGGTTCGTAAACGACATGAACAAGTGTATGGCCCTTCCAACAGTCAAATTGCTTTGTGACGAGCCTACTCATTGGGATTCAACATACATTATGTTCAATCATTTGAGAAGGCTACGACAGGTAATGTTTCATCTCATTAATTCTCACATAGTCTAATGGTTGCCCAGGCTATTGACCATTGGATCAATCTTTCTGCTCAACGCAGCATAGTGCATTATAAACTGAGCCCCATGGATTGGCAAGTCCTGCAGGATCTCGAGGTTATTCTAGAGGTATGTTCTAATACGTCCAACACCCATGTCATATCTACTATTCTACATTAGGCACAACACCATGCTCAGCAATGCATGTCCGGCGAAACCAGTCCTCTACTGGGCAGCACCATTCCAGCCTTCAAAGGGCTGATCCAAAGATGGAATCTTGTAGTGGACCTCATCCCACACTGTGTGCCTTTGGTTGCCATAGGTTTCACATGGGCAGCTAAGTATGATGATTGAATGAGTCTCACAGGAGCATATGCTGTTGCAATGTGTAAGTCCCGTGTGTTTTGATTAATCTGAACTCTAATGATTGTGTATAGTTGTCAATCCCACAAGACATATGTCATGGATGAACGAACATTGGTCAGTCTTATGAATCACAGAGGCTAAAGACTATATTCTCAAACTGGTACGTCTGCCTAACAATAACAACAGCAAGCTTTGGGCTTATATGTCTTACAGATGCAGAATAAGAGAGCGACAAATGACTCTGCAGAGTGTGATCAGTTGATTCGTCAGCCACGTCCTGCAACACTAGGCTTGACGATCTATGGACTTCCTGAGATAGACCTACTGCCATGTCGCCAGGGTCACCACCCCCAATTAGCTGAAGACGAATTCAATGCTTATAGCACAGGCGTTCTTAGCCATACAGAAACAGATATACTATCTTTTTGGACAGTAAGATATCTGTCTCTATTACATGTTTTGTTGGTGATGAGGACTAGGTTTCGGAGCTAATGTTTCCAACACTCTTCAAAATTGCAATGGATTTCCTGCCGATACAAGCCTCTGCTGTTCCATGTGAGCGCATATTCTCCTCCAGTAGTGAGACACTTACCAAGAAGTGCCATCGTCTCAGCCCATACTTGATGGAAGCCCTACAGATAGTCAAATTCACACTGAAAAAGGAGCGACTTCACTTTACCAAGGGTTGTGCAGTGTCCCAAAAGGACATGGAGTATGATTTTATGTGTGCTACAGGCTCTGCGAGCCATGAAGATCTCTTACCATCTAGTTCTGGTGATCTACCGATATCCGCTGTGAGCAGAACTACATCTGGCAGCCGCGATTATGAGGCTCTTCTTAGAGTCATCACAGAGGATGAATGTGATGATGTTCCAGATGATATCACAGACATATCTATTCCTGCTTCTTAATTCTTGCTTGTTCGCTACTACTTTGACTGTTCCCTTCATCTTACTCATGCTGCTGCTGCTTCTGTCATTAAACTAACCTTGACTATTGATTTATATTTTTTCTCAATGTTCTCATCTTACTAACTGCAGGAAAGATGTCAGCAGTGACTGCACAACTGGTTTTAGCATTTACTGTCTGACCATCGAACTCACCCTAGATGGGCTTCTAGGTGAGTACAATGGCAAATGTGAGAGCTAAACTTCTCCTCAATTTTATCACCCATGCTAACTGCATAAACTGCAGGAAAGATGTCAGCAGTGACTGCACAACTGGTTTTAGCATTTACTGTCCGACCATCAAACTCACCCTAGATGAGCTTCTAGGTAAGTGAGAGCTAAACTTCTCCTCAACTTTATTGCCCATGCTAACTGTGTAAACTGCAGGAAAGATGTCAGTAGTGACTGCTCAACTGGTTTTAGCATTTACCTTCCAACCATTAAACTCACCCTAGATGAGTTTTTAGGTGAGTACAATGGCAAAACCTCAAAGGTAAGCATTTAACTCCATCGCCATTACAGTTGTTGAATCACTGTTAGTTGTTGCCCACCTTTTGCAGATCATGAGTCTGTCGACCCTCTTTCAAACTCGAGCCACACTGATCTGAGTTGTTGCCCACCATTTGCAGATTGTAAGCTGTCAACTCTTCTTCGAACTTGAGCCACACTGATCTGAGTCATTGCCCACTGTTTGCAGATCATCAGTTTGTCGACCCTCCTTTGAGCATGAGCCATGCTACTCTGAGTCATTGCCCACCATTAGCAGATTGTGAGTCTATTGACCCTCCTTTGAACTTGAGCCACACTGATCTGAGTTGTTGCCCACCTTTTGCAGATCATGAGTCTGTCGACCCTCCTTTGAACTCGAGCCACACTGCTCTGAGTCGTTACCCACCATTAGCAGATCATGAGTTCATCAACCCTCCTTCAAACTCTAGCCATGCTGATCTGAGTCGTTGCCCACCATTCTTGAAAAAAGCAGCTGTTAGTGCTGTTGTAGGTTGGTCACTTTTTCACAAAGGATGTGGTGCTCTTTAATATATGTCTATGCAGGTTCATATGAGACAGTCAGCAGATGTCCGATTCGCAACTCATATTGTCTGCTGCTCTGAGGCTCAACCTCTTGTCAGACCACATCGACCTTGATGACTTTTGCTCTTGCCATGGTATTGTGTGCAATTATGTGTTAGGTGTCTGCCCACACGCCACTCTAACCATGTTTCCTTCAGTTGATGGTCGTCTTGCTAACCTCACCATCTTACTTGCTTCCTTTATTGTCGTCACATCCCTCAATCAAGAAGCAAGATCAGATGTCCTGATCATTGTTTGAGGGTGCCTTAAAGAAAGCAGCTACTACTGCTATTGTTGGTTCGTCGTCTTTTTACAAGAAACGGTATACCTCTCATTGATACATATCTATTCAGGTTCGTATGAAACGGTTAGCGGATGTCTAAACCATATTCTCAACTCCTGAATTTCTTTGCAGACTACTCCAGTCGTTATGACTTTTGCTCTTGCCATGGTATTGTATCCAGATGTTCAGAGACGCGCACAAGCGGAGATCAACTCAGTGGTTGGCCGGGATTGCTTACCTACCTTTGAAGACAGAATGTCACTACCATATATTGAATCAGTTCTGTGTGAGACTTTACGATGGCAGCCTGTCATACCCCTTGGTAATCTTTCTTGCTGTGTTATTTCACCTTTGCTGAAGGTGTTTTTGTAGGCGTCCCACATGCCACTATGAGTGATGATACATATAATGGTTATGTCATACCGAAAGGTCTGTTATTCTTATTCACTGAGTACATCATCTAACATATATAAGCATGAATAGCTGCCAGCTCGGTGTCGATTGTGTCCAACCTCCAAGACTTTTGCTATCGTGTTTCACAACATAGTACTATCAGCCAACCATCTACACCTTCCAGCATGCCATACAATACTGACGCAAGCTCACATCCTGTTACCGCTTCTCATTGCTCCTTTTTATTTCAGTGCTATATGGTGACCACCTGTACTTTTCATGAATTGGTCCCTATCCAAAATGGATCTGTTATCATGACAATATGACAATAAAAACTACTGGAAATACAACAGTTACATTGTTCTATTTGAAGGTCACTTCACAGTACACATCTATATGCAAACAATATTCACTGTCCTCCTATTACCCACTGCTGTCTCACCTTGCCTATGCTATTTTCACAGGAACCAAAAGAACCTCTCAGTGACGGCAATCATGTGTTGCCTATTCTCCGAGTCATCATGGCTGTGAAACAAACATTGACTAAGCTCTTGCTTTTCTTTTCCCGGCGCACAATACTGGCTAATGGGCTCGCGCTTGCCTCGAACATGCTTTGTTCTCTCCACAAGACCTATTTTGCGACGAATTCCACGATAAAATTATAAATACTAGCTGGCAACTATGAATAACAGCTCTACATTGTTGATTCATTGATGTTCTGCTCAAGAACCACTGTATTCCACGAATCACATTTTATTCTCATCCTTACTGCTCCTGTTGGACAGTGAATGCGAACAGGTGCCTTTGCAACTACTCTCAAAGGCTGTCAAGGTTTCGCTCTCTCGCACAGTTCTCTATTTCAGAACAGATCCTTTTGCTCATTGGTTCCCATGTCAAAAGATGTCGAGTTTCAAAAGGAAACGGAGAGAAATTGGTCCAAATACATTGTACAAATGTCCGCCTTTGTAATAAAGAAACAACCGAAGGTCACCGCTTGTTTGTAATATCGTACATCAGGAACAGTTGTCATGTACAACATATGGTCAGACAGATCCTCTCTAGTTTTCCAATACTGATGTTATATTTATATTGCAGGGGCATTTCATGGGATAAAAAGTGGTACCCTGAAGCATCTTGTTTTATGCCGCAGAGATTCCTAGATGTCAATGGCGCATTAACAGATGATAACCCTGTTGGATATACTTTTGGCTTTGACCAGCGTGCATGCCCAGGTAGGCTGAGTTATTTCATCACCATATAGAGCTGATTCATTCTTTGATCGGGCAGATCGTCAGTCTGTTGACCCTCCTTTGAACTTGAACCATGCTGATCCGAGTTGTCACCCACCATTAGCAGATTGTAAGTCTGTCGACCCCTCTTTCAAGCACGAACCATGCTGATCCGAGTCATTGCCCACCATTTGCAGATCATAAGTCTGTCGACCCTCCTTCGAGCACAAACCATGTGAATCCGAGTCATCCCCACTGTTAGCAGATTCTCAGTCTGTCGACCCTCCTTCGAGCACAGGCCACGCTGATCCAAGTTGTCACCCACCATTAGCAGATCGTAAGTATGTCGACCTTCCTTCGAGCATGAGCCATGCTGATCCGAGTCGTTGCCCACCATTTGCAGATTGTAAGCTGTCAACCCTCCTTCAAGCACGAGCCACACTGATCCAAGATGTTGCCCACTGTTTGCAGATCATAAGTCTGTCGACCATCCTTCGAGCATGAGCCACACTGATCTGAGTCGTTGCCCACCATTAGCAGATCATAAGTCTGTCGACCCTCCTTTGAGCACGAGCCATGCTGCTCCGAGCCATTGCATATGGTGAGTCTGTCATTTTCATTTTCACCAGCAACAACATTAATCTGTGTCTCAATCACATTGCACAAACATCTATTCTAACAGGCATATCCTTCGCAACACAAACCTCTGACCTTGACACTAATTCCCACTACCATGACCATGACCTAGAAACCTCCTGAAGTACCATCCCCACCTGCATCTCCGACTCATTTGAACGACCCCCCCCCCTTCTCAACTCATCTGAACGATCCTGTCCCCTTCTCGACTCATCCGAATGATCCTTTCCCCTTCTCCTTGTGTTTCAGCCACTCTCTCAACTCTCCGCCACCTTATGACAGGTCTCTCTGTGTTTGGCGCTGATGTGCGCTGTTCTCGTAATCTTCGTGCACAAGTAGCACTACCATACAACTAGATACTTCTTTTAGTTTTTGATTAATTGTTATTGAAATCATTTACTTTGTCTTGTGGACCAATGAGTATGAATGATGCGACTTGTAAATGTGAAGTGCATTGTGAATCGGTGTGATCGACACCTGCTTTCCTAAGTTTCTTGTGGTGGTTCTTGAGACTAAAGTTCTGAATTCTAAAATCTATTTTTAGCTTATAATTTAAAAATATATTTGAGTTGGTTTAAGGCCTTAAGTCAACTTAGCTGTAACTAATCGAGCCAAGCCGGACCGTAATTTTATAAGCCATAACTGCTTGTCAACTCAGCTATTTATAGCTTGGGCCATGGCTAGAACCGGCAACACTAACTGTAGCATCAGAAGATGTGAGCAGATGAGGATGACCAGCTTGCAAGGGCTTTGAATGACAGACCCTGTGAGCTGTGAGAGGTGAAGTACACAGTTGACAGTACAATGACCAGAGTGAGTGACTCTTAAGTTTAGAGGCAAACAGATCGGGTGGGAGCTAAGTAGATAGAAACAATATCTCAGTCTCTGTTTGTGGGACTCATAGTCCAAGTACAGTACCTAAGTAGATAGAAACAATCTACTCATTTTTTATCAGCCCGCATTCTAAAGTAAGTTCAAATGCAACAACTCACATCTCAGTCTCTGTTTGTGGGACTGAGATGCTTGTTCGCTATTGGAGAAGACTATAAGGTAAACGCATTGTGATACATATATTAGTGTAGTAAGGAGAATGAAAAGAGTGAAACATTGGTATCTGGACGTCAAGTGACACTCAATGTCTCTTTTCTTGTGCCTCTGTCAAACGGTCGTGCTCATACTACGTGGCATCGTCCGACGCATCTGATACGACCGAACTCAACAGTAACATGAGCAATATCCCTCAATTTCATGTGGGCAGACATTATGACCCTTTGTTGCTTGACATACTCTGGTATGTGACATCAATTCCCTACCATGATGGTGGATATGACATATTGATCATGAAGCTGTGCTGCGCAGCCTGTGCCTTCGTTGACTAAGAACTAGTGCTGCCATGGTCCAGTTTGGTCCAGTTCAGAGGGTCATGGAGGAGAACCAAGAACCGGACCATCGGTTCAGTTCTACAAAATGTCCAAACCCAGAACCGGACCACAGAGAACAGTTCTCTGTGGTCCAGTTCAGTTTTTTGGGGTCCAAACCCAAACCGGACCCAAATTTTTGCACAAAAAAAACACTAATGAAATACTAGTCTACACATTGAGTGATTACTCTAATAACATGGCTGGTCACAGAATCGTAGCTCGCGACCTGTGATAAAGAATGTCCCCACCGTTATCTATGCTCTGAATCGCCAAAGGCCAACATTGACACTCAAGAGCACTGTCACCTAACTGAGTGGCACTGAAGCTTTGATGTCACAGGCGAACTAGGAAAGTCTGGAGCCAGAAGTTGGATAAGACCAGCACCAAAAACAGGATGGCAATGACGATGGCAGCAGGTTCAGCACCAGTCTGGGGTGAAAACAGAAAAGGACAAACCATTTCAATACTCACTAGGTATATCACTACCTGTTCCGAGCGTGACTACCATGATGTCCTTACCTATGACATCAGGCACTGCAGCCTCGTCGATGTGTGCTCATGCTTCAAAAAATTGTGTTCTGACAGCGTCAGAGAGTGATGAAAGCTTGCCAGACAATACGGTGGAGTGAAAGAGACCATTCACTTTGTTACGACGATAGTCGCATGCGGACTGGGATAATCTAACAGCAATGATCACGACTGTGATACCTCGTGCTGAGAGTCCAAGGTCGGCTCCTACAGATAAGCAGGAGTTGCGTATGCTGGCGTAGGCGAGCGATGATAGCGATTACAGGCAGAAGGGGTCTCAAGCCCTTCTGAAGGTGCGGATCGAATGTCGAGCAAGTAGCTTTAGCAGGACAAGGAGTTCAAGGTAAAACCCAGTAAGATTAAAGTAAGGAACATCTACTTTAATCTATCGACCTTATATAAGGCTACTCTATCGTATCTAAGCTTGGCTTGAAGCTGGGTTCTAAGTGCTTATCTATCGAGTCAGAGATACCATGCATGAGGCAGGCTTCTATCTATGATAAGGACATGTGGTCGTCCTTCTATCAGTACATGAGGCAATCATGAGGCTTGCCTTCTATCTTGATAACAAGAATAGGTCTTCTAGACCTATGTCGTTATATCATGTAAGCGATCCAGACCGCTTATCTAAGCCGGCATCTTCCAGGCTTCTCTTCTAATCGTTGTCGTTAAGACCTAAAGGTCCTGGTATCGTGTTGTTGCCGTGCAAGGTGGCAGAGGGCATATCTGTAGCTGGGGGCTCACATCATGTTACTGTAACACACTTCTGCCTCAAGGTCTCATAGTGGTGGCCATGGCAGACGGATGTCAATGACAGTATGCGCACACATGCAGTCGGTATTGGATGGAAGATTCGTGGCTACCGCAAATAGAGAGTGAATGGTTAGAAAACGTGGAAAATGAACGCACCTCAAGATTCTCACCAGCACCTACAACATCCTGGATGAAGACTTTGTTTTCCGGCCTTGAGTAAAACAGAGAAGGCATCCTTCACAGTAGATTGAGTTGAAGTCCTGTGCAGTGTTGTAGCCAGTTTCCAATAGTAACTGCAGAAAATGAGTGATGAGGGAGACAGTAGGTGCTGATAAACTGCTCCATGTGCAGGCTGAAGGAGGTGCGTATGAGGACGTGTAGCGAGTACAAGATGAGACTGGATTAGATGATGGCTGAAGGAGGTGCGTGTGAGGACATGTAGCGAGTACAGGGCAAGACCAAAGTAGATGACATGCTAAATGGTAGGGTGCGAAGTTAGGAATGAAAGTTTGAAATCACAGACATGCACTCACCAAGGTTAAACAATACAACTTTGTCTCTATGCACCCCACCATCGTGTCCACCCGCAACGAAGAGGCAGCTTCCAACTTGTGTAGAGGTATGCGAACTGGGACCAATGTGTGTGACTGACCAGGTGCAAATCCAGCACTTCTGTGTGAAGTGCAATAGCCTGATTTAGTTTGATTAGTCAGTACTTAGCGTTAAAGGCAGCCTGAGAGGTGCAAATCCCGAAGGTCGAGACGTCGAGACAAATGATATCGAAGGAAGGGTTTGGAAGGGTTCGGGAAGGCCGAACCAGAACCGAACTATTCAGCAGGACCTAGAACCGAGAACTGTTTTGCGGTTCGGTTCTGTCAAACATGCGGACCATGGACTGAACCACAGAAAACTGGACCAAAAGTCTGGTTCGAACTGTGGTTCTGGACCGGACCACGGCAGCACTACTAAGAACTCCAAAGATACACAAAGTCGGTGAGTGTGTAAAATTGATTTTGGCCTATCAATATGGAAATAGCTGTAAGTCATTGAAGTACATAAAGCAGATCTGAGATTTGCTGATGTGGCAATTTGCATTGTGTACCTTACAGACTCCACAAAAATTGATGTCAATTGAAACTACTACTGAGTACTTAGGGTCACCACACCAGCATTTTAAAAATGAGCAATATTGGTTTGCTTCATTTATAGCACCAGTCGAAGTGTACCATTTCTTCTTAGTGACCTTATTTCTCGTACTTTGCAGAAAATTGCTAATGGCGTAACGGATGACTCGAAATTTCAAGTCGTACATACCACGTACGGAACACGGAGCTAACGAAAAGGGTCAAACAAGGGGTGGTCAAATGTTGTACAGATTGGTGGTGTGGGCCTAAGAAAGGAAATACATGTATACAACCCATTCACCTGATAACATTTCATACTTCTGTTCGGAAAACATTCACAAGTTCTGAATGGGCACGAGAGCGTGATGAGATATTGCAAGGGAAGACCATAGGGGAACTAAAGCGATCAAACTGTTAGTGACAGGAAGATGGAATGATACGAGAAAAACCAAGTACCGAAAGAGTCCCATCGTGAATTGGGGGGTGAATTCGATCGCTTTGCCCTGATCATCTTTGGCGGAAGAAAACTCCACCGTGGCTAACATAGTAACAATAGCGGACCATACAGAGGCATCAGCAGCATATCGGCCTGATCAAAGAATGAATCAGCTCTATACGGTGATGAAATAACTCAGCCCACCTGGACATACACGCCGGCCAAAGCCGAAAATATATCCAGCAGGGTTATCATCTGTTAACGCGCCGTTGACGTCTAGGAACCTTTCCGGCATAAAACGAGATGCATCAGGGTACCGCTTTTCATCTCGTGTAATGCCCCTGCAATATAATATCAGTATTTTGAAAGCTAGAGAGGATCTATCTGACCATGTATTCCACATGATGGTTGTTCCTGATGTACGATATTACAAATTATGTACTCGATGAATAAGAACAGCAGACCTTTCGGAATGAAATAACCATCATATATATCATCACTCATACTGGCATGTGCAACGCCTACAAATCAACCTTCAGCAAAGCTAAAATAGCACAGCAAGGGGATTACCAAGGGGTCCGATAGGCTGCCATCGCAAAGTCTCCCGAAAAACTGATTCGATATATGGTAGTGACGGTCTGTCCTCAAAGGTGGGTAAGCGATCCCGGCCAACCACTGAGTCGATCTCCGCTTGTGCGCGTCTCTGAACATCTGGATACAATACCATGGCGAGAGAAAAAGTCATCAAGATCGACGTGGTCTGTGAAAGGGGTTAAGCAGCAGACAATGTGAGTCGGACATCTGCTCACTGTCTCGTATGCACCTGCGTAAACATCTATTAAGAAGCACCGTATTCCCTGTAAAAGGTGACCAACCTATAATAGCAGTAGTCGCTGCTTTCTTTAAGGCAGTCTTGAACATGGGTTTGGATGCCTGATTTATGTTCTCCATTCGTTGCAAATTGTCTGATACCATTGAAACCTGGTCGAGAGACAAATTTTCGGCCTTAGCGAGCACACGATCAACATCTAGGACCGAACTAGATTAAACAAGATGCCCACCATATGGTCCTGCGCATATTGGAACGGCACGTCAGTCATTTGTCTCATGCGATTGGCCGACGTTCGAGCATCGCGTTTGATTGAGGATCCCCAACACCAGTCAGGTAACTTCAGCACTGCGTGATGGTACAGAATGTCAACTCTTTCCACGAGAAAGAATACTGAGCTTACAAAAGGAGAAAGCCTTGAGCAGAGCTGCTCTCTCCGGGGTCACCACTGCAATGCCAACAGCCAGTGCATTTTCTACGATTCGAACCAGAGGATCATCACGAGGACTAGTTTGGTAGCCGTAGGTCGTTGACATCGCAACAGATGACGAGAAGCTATGGACAGGTTAATAAAAATTCGATGTTTACAAACATATCGACTGACGTTGCAAAGTGAGAATGGTAATGGTGAGGGTCATCGATTAGATTGACGATCATTTCACCAGCCTGCTTGATTTGCGTTGGACGAAACTTGAGCGCAGAGTCAGGACGGAAAGTTTGGTGGATGATTCGTCGGCAAAGACGCCATTCGTCACCATAGCCTGTGAGTACAAAGAAGACCGACCAACCAAATCTGCCTGGACTCCATAATGACTGAATAAAAGAATTTTAGAAGAACGCACGGCTCGACTGTGGCTAAATATGGACGGTCAGAGTAAATGCGACCACGCTTGTCCATTAAGGCTTCTGCAACGTGCTGAGAACTGATCACTACGACATCCTGGTCCAGAAGTCGCACAAAAAATAAATCTCCTGATATAATGATCTGTACCACATATGCCCCGTAGTACTATCTGACCACATACCATAAGTAGCAGCCCATTCGGTATAAGTCAACCATGGCGCCTTGGCGTCGAGAGACAAGAAATTTCCTAACAGTGGGAGCGGCACGGGGCCGGGGGGAAGTTTGTTCTGTCGGTTCCTAATGAACCTCTTGAGGGATGTGAAGATAACAACAGAAGCAGGTAAGATGGCGAGGATAGTAAGGCGACCATCAACTGAAGGAAACATGGTTAGAGCGGTGCGTGGACAGACGCACAAAGGGGACTTTATAACTGCACGGAGAACTGCTTACCACACCCTGTACGTGGTGTTCAACTCCCACGTTAGCGAGAGGAGGGCTTTGTCCAACGTAAAAAGGTGCTAGTGTGGAGTGAAGCTTAGGTGATGCGAAGACGGGCCTTCCCCAGGTTATGCGGAGGTTACAAATAGTCTTATCGGATTGACCATAAAAGAGATCAGGTATATGTCGAGGGGAGGACAAGGGACTCCCGCCCCAAGCCGTGTGCAAGACAAAAGCACAACCAAACTGGGAAGCAAGCCTGAAATAATTCTGCATGCAACCTTGTTAGAAGTTCGAAAGTGCCAATATCGGAGGAAAGAATAAGAGGACCAATATCCAAGAGCTTGAAAGACATCGGGTGGGACTCCTGACAGTAGACATGCCATTGTTCCATCAATGCTAAATGAGTGACCGGGGCAAGTGGAGAGACCAAAACTGGTCTCGTTGATGACACAGGTGACAAAATGACATCTTCGCTGCGCGTTTTTATTACTTTGGTGGAAGTTAAGTGTAGTTTGGGCGATCCATTGGAGTTAAGAAGTAGCGAGATTGCGTCTGCAGGCAACATGTGTCAATGTTGTGATGGATGAACTCTCCCACTGCGATAAAATTTCTCCCGAACACAGTCGACCCTAAGTTGCAGAAGTGGCGGGCGTGAGACAGCAAATATTGCAAGGATTGGAAGCATCTAACTTGAATGCAAGGATCAGAGCATATCTCTTGTAAACCGGTCACGAGTCGCGGGGAACGTTTCGAAGAAGCAGGCACTAATTTAGATTTGCGGTTCGACATGTAGCCACATAAGATGCAGTGAGGGATGTTGTTTACATAATGAAGGTTGTGAATATTTTTTTATGTATTATCGTCTTCGTTGTCCTACTCGTTGAGCTCGCGTTCTCATGCTTTAATATTTTGTTTCAACCCTAGTGTCCATGAACGCCGCTGATGATATCCTTGCATCCAGTCCATAATCCTTGACCCCAATCCTGTTTCCACTCCTTGGGACCTGCAGGATAGTCATGCCACCGATGTCGTCGACGGTCGCCAGTTGATTTTTTTTTTCAGAGCAGCCCATCAAGACCGGTCAGCACGTCCACACCGAGATCCAACGCTAGATCTTATCGCGCTCGCAGTCGACATCCCCTCCCTCGTTAACTCTCATCAACCTTCCTTGTTAGTTACCGGTACTGCTAGTATTGGTGGGGCCTTCACATTTTTTCCACTGCGAAGTTTTTCTTATTTCACTAGCTTGCAGCTACACATCGTACATACTACCCTACTCAATATCTCAATATTCAGTACCAGTCGAAGTGTAGTACTTCGCACTAAACTGTTAATGGCGTGATCATGGATATCGATAACTAGTCGACTTCCTGCAGGTAACGTTGTTCTATGTAAACCTAATTCTATGTTTGTGCCGACGTGCCGTTGTCAAATGTCAGTATTTTACAAGACTGCATGTCAAAAACACCGCGTCGTTCGATAAATACTACCGCTCCTGCTCTGAGACACCAATTACCACTCGGTCCGCTTCAACAGCACGTTCATGCGACCATGTGTCTTGTAATTGCACTTTGCATTGTGTACCTTACGGACAGACTCCACAAAAACTGAAGCCAATTGAAACTACAGAGTACTTAGAGTCATCACGCTAGGGTAGTACCCGGAGGTATATTCTAGGTATGATTTGAAAAATGTGCAAATGTGCAATTGGTGATCCCATAATATACCAAGTTGAGCAATGCGGTGCAGATGTCGGACTGCGCCAGGTGTCACAATTTCAAAGAATTACAGTACTCTGATGTGCTTCTTCCCCATGCCTGTTCAAGTCGTGGTAGGTCTCATAGCAGTATGTCTACATTAAATAATACGAGTGTCGCACAATGTGCTTCAATCCTATTAGATGCCTGAAAATGTGTGATGTTGACTACGTCACATCAATCATGCGGTGAGTCGGCATAACACTTTACAGGTGCTAAGCCTAATGACTACGATCTGAGAGCCAGCGGAGAACTATGTCCCTACAAAGATGATAGTATAATTAGTCAAGAATTCAAGGTTCAAAGGAGTTCATGCTAGAAAAGTGGAACGCACAAATTATGTTGGCTTTTCATCGAACACTGATAGAAAATTAGCGCACATGGTATCCAGTATGAGAAGACTCACCGAGTAACACTAAAACGATATCTCATTAGTGTGTTGGAAGCTTGCGATAATTCCGAGAGACGTACTGAGACTGGGCGGTCTTGTATCTTGTCCAGTTGACTTCCCTCAAGATGAGTGGGCATGCAGTACTAAAGACACTCTACTCACAGGTCGCGTATAAGATCCTTGACAGATGCATGCGAGGGAATGTCATTCTTGTTTCCAAGCTGCTTCGATGTAAGCAATCCCGTAGATGCCCCGAGGTAGTAAACTCACCACCAAAAGAGGAACACCTGTTAGATTAGGCTGTGCCAATAGTTGGTGCAATTCGAAGCATGCCGTGTCAAACTTCTCTTGCTGTAAGGAGCCATCGGCGTTAGAACTAAGACCTGCCAATTACACAGCAAAGCCTACATCGGCTGAGTCAACTACAAACCTGTGGCGAAAGAACATTCTGCAAATAAAACATGCTATCAAACGCAAAGAAACGGACGACGTACACTAAAGCATCGACTCCGTTGCAATAGCGCTCCCACATTGAGCGAAACTTGGGCTGTCCTGCGACATCCCATATCTTCAGGGTCACAGCGCCTTTGCGTACCTTGCGATAGTTGAATGCGATAGTTGGAACGACGTCTTCTGACCACTGAGTGAGGGTAAGCCGCTTGGGCGAAGGAAAAGCCATGAATGAAACAATCGCACCTGCCCCGAACCGATGACATTCACAAACGAAGTTTTTCCAGAAGCCTTCGTAAATGAATTTGAGTACCATTTTCTGGACTTGGAATACGGATCCACGCACCTGCAGCCCAACCACAGATATTTCAGCGGCTTTGGAGAAGAATATGCTGCGGGATTCAATATGTAAGATCTTGTCCACTTCAAGAGAAGACTGGCTTACCTACTGAACCAGGAGAGTATCGAGGATATAAAGGTCATGGTGGACTGCCCGGTGCTCGACGGCCGAGTCCTTGAAGGGCTACAGTAGTACTAGTGATACTATTAATGACGAAGGTGAAATGACCCGCAGGAGCGTGGGAATTATATATTAATTATAGTAAAGCTCCCGTGGCCCGGGCCATTTCTGCGGGCCTGACTCGGTATTTTGCTTGAACAACTTTCATCGTCTTGGATTGGTTACCCATAGCCGGAAACCTCCACTAGTCAAGTTGCATGGTAGGCTAGAAGTTCGAACTGGACGGTTCATGGGTGCCAACTTAAGGTATTTGGCTGGTAGTGCAAATTTAAATAATATGATTTGACGAATCCATTTCAGTTCAGCGTTGCTGGCCCTCCGAGTCATCAGACATGAATGTACCACATAGGCTTCCAGACGAGAATATTGCATGTATGGGTGTATAAAGCTTGTCGCGATATACCAGAGCGATGTACATGTGAATTTTCAACTCTGTCCAAGTCCCATTTGCTGTTCATATCAACCGGCACAAGAAAACTTCGATCGTGTTCGCAATAACATTTCACGGATGACATTATCTGGTGAACGTCAAGCGCAGCCGGTATGTTGTATGTAATATGCTGTAGAAAGCCTCATTTTCATTAAGACAGAAGAACATGACTGCATGGAGGCTTCTGCACACTTCCTCCATTTTACTTTCGTCAAATAGGTGAATCTGGATTCTATTCGATTATTGAAGCTGAAGCCTGATTTCTAAACTTGCGAAGTGATCGGGCTGTCCATACTCTACATCCTCCAAACTTCCTCGTCGTGAATATCGTTCATTGCACATCGACACTACTACGGCATTACATGCACTTTCCATAGCCAGTGTGATAGGTCAGTAGATTTTTTTTCTATGAGTGTTCATGGTAGTCAAGATCTCAGATCTCAATAACAAGTTGAACGATGCGGAAGATTGGGGACGTTGCTAATCTAATCAGGTTTCGAAAGCATACAACAGGAGATGTGTCACTTACACTAGCTAAGTAGTAGGGTTTACTCGTGACTACTTCATATTGGAGATTTGGGTACAATTCAGCCAAAAAATCTAGGACTGACATGCCTTAGGCTACGACGTTAGCGAGAGCAAGTAGTAGAAAAGCAGCAGTTCCAAATCAAGTAACTGACCTACTACGGCCCGGCGGTCCATAATGACATGACGCCCCGGCACGGATCTACTATTGCAATCTTTCAGTCATTTACAAGAATCACAACTCCTTCACTCCATCACTTCATTCAACATCATGTCTGGGCTGACTTACTTCGGTTAGTGCTTGCAATATCACGACTTATCGACGAAGGGAGACTGACTCATTTGAACGCAGCGAGGTCGCACGTGCAGAGGACGTTCGAACAGCTTATGAATGTGCTTCCATCGCAGCTGAAGGAGAAGGTAGCTCGATATGATATCCCGAAGACCAACGTTAGCATTGATCAACGCGATTAGCCCCAAGTTATTCTTCTTGCAGGAGGAAACACACCCTTCCGAAATGACACAGATCGCGAGCTACCTATTTCGCCAAGAGTCCAATTTCTACTACCTCACAGGATGCTCTGTGCCTGGATCATTCCTTCTCGCTCTTTATCAGCCTGAACAGACAAATTCTTCCACAAGGCTGAGCGTCAGGCTATCTATCCCGGAAGTAGAGGCCGCAGACCTTATGTGGAGTGTTCCTCCACCCACGATCGAGGAAGCGAAGCACTTGTTCGATGTAACAGACATTTCGTATAGCTCAGAGCTACAAGGTGCAATCATATCACTCCTCCAGTCACACCCCGAAGCTGTCTTCCATACCCTGCCGCGCAACTCGCCTCAATTTCCCACCTTACCCGAGGAGTACATGGCGACTATTGTTACATCAGAGACCCACACCGCAACTGATGCATACTTACTCTCTTCCTTGCACAAAACACGATTGATCAAGGATGAGAACGAGATCACGATGCTTCGACATGCAAATGACATCAGCTCCAGGGCGCATGAGACCGTCATGCGCGTTTTGGGCAACGCAGTACAGGGTAAGATTGCTCAGGGAGAAGGTGCAGGCATTGATCGTCCACTTCTTCCCGGGGAGTGGCTGATTGAGAAAGAGGCGGAGGCGGAGGCAATCTTTGTTGCGTCATGCCGGCGTGAAGGGTACGAACGCATCAAGTATTGATGCCCGATAACTCACCAATGACATCAGGGCCGTTCATCAGGCATATCTCCCTATTGTCGCGGCTTCCAGGAGAGCCGCTACGTTACACTACTGCTGTAATGACCGAGAGTTCAACTGGGGACCTGTAAAGCCACACGATCATCTGAACCACGGTGCCTTGGCACACGGT